ATTGGTCGAAATCCTACTGTTACTGTTACGAAAAAGTGTGTGTGGCCACTGGCCAGCTTAATGAGGGCCGAAATGGCGAAAATCTGGAAGTATCACATCCATATTTTTGAGAAATATCATGTGCTCGATATTTCATATTAAATGTAACTTGCGTTTGAAGGATGTTAAATTTGTCAAAAAGTCTCTAAAAATCGATGCCCAGCAATGCTACAAAGAAATTGCCGCAGTGCAATGTCGAAAACACGCAGTGAGTACCGGGATACTCATACATAGATAGGTGAAGAATTATGCATTGACAGAAGGGTTAAGCAAGAACGAGAATAAGTAATAGATTAATATATCTAAGAACCAACGGAAAATTGATCATATTAGGAAGAAAAGGAATGTATAAGTCAATTATCAAGTAAATATAAAGAAGGAACGAAGGAAGGAAAAGCAGGATAGAAAGGTAAAAGAATGGTGTCGGTAGAATAACAATGAAAAGAATCTTAATTTGATCAATATCTTTTTAGATAATGGTTATCCACTCGTTTTCATATTTTCGTCGATTAGAAATAAATATTAAAACATGCTTCCTACTTCAACGATAACGAAATTGATGGAAACAATTCTACCAAATATGGAACACTAATATGTTCTCCTGGTAAATTAATATTTTAACCCTCCGTCTGTAAACGTGGGTCTACATCGTCCGAGCCAAAATAATATCTGCTCGTAACTGTAAAACTTGCAACTCTACCAGAAATTATTAAATAAACGATGTTTATCAAATGACTATAAAATCATAAACTATACTATGTAGATAAATATTTCATGATTTTTTCAGACTTTAATGCGTTAAGGTAGGGAAAAATAGCGTCGAACGTGACACTCTAAGAATGCAAAAAAAACGTATACAGACGGAGGATTAAAATTGCTTTTTCTAGTAAATTCCGGATGTTTTCTCATCATCACTCATTCCACGTGCGCATTAAAAAAAACCCCGCTGGTGTTGCGGGAATCGGCATTTTCTGTCACAATATTTGTGATCCTTGCGATAATCGATTTTTTATCCACCAGCATTCGAATTTAAAATTATTGTCTTTTTCAATTTTAACTCAAAAGTGTTATATTTTAAATCGAGATCCTCAATTTACAATACAATCTCTTACAGTACAGAATTTAATCATGTACATGATGTAATCTTCCGTTTTTACGTTATTTTAGATTAAAAATATCGACAGTTTATAATAAATTGAACGAATGGAAAGGTAAGTTTTGTGAATACAAAAAAATCGATGGAAAGAAATAGTAAAAGTAGCGATTTATTAAGATACAAAATTACATAATGAAAAAAAATAATTCAAGATTTGATTAGATATAGTCTTATAATATTTTTGTCACGTGACAATTTGAGTAACAAGCCTTCAACTGATGAAATAAACATTTGTATCTGCAGTGCGTATTTCTTGAATCTATTATACATGCCTACCGTACATAAATACACGATTTAAAGAAAAAATCAGCCATCACTTTATAGAATTACCCAAATTAATTCGGATAGATGGTCGGTGGACGCTTTTCGATCCAACTCTTGATGGCTGGTAATTCCTCAACCTTCTTTTGGAGTTGTTTCAGATTCTCATACTTCTCGACGATGTCCTCTTTCATAATATGGTTCAAGTTCTCCAAAAGAGCGACGAAAGTGAGATCGGCCCACGTCAGAGTACCACCGACAAAGTAACCGCCATTCTTCTTCACCTGAGCGTCCAAACGCTCCAAATAATACGGCACCGTCTCTTTGGCAGCTTTAAGTTTCTCTTCTTTAGCCTGTTCGTTACTCTCATAGCGAAAACGAGCGATATCTAATGCAAGCAAAAGAATGATAAGATAAATAAGATAATGACATTCGGTCATTTCAGTAGATCGAATTTATAACGCGAAAGTAGAAAATCCTACCCTGTATATATATATCATTATTTCGGAATAAATCTGTTCGCATTATCAAAATGTGAACCTATATTAATGTTGTGATTAAAATCTATTTTAAAAGTAAATCTCCGCTCGTGGTAAATAAATAAGTAATCGGAAAAATGTAGTGTAAGCAGAATATTATCTACTTACTAGCACGTAAATCGTATATGTTGTCGACAGTCGCATCAATTTCCAGAGACTCCCAATCGTTCTTGCCGGCAAGACCACTTTGCTTCGCCAAGTAACGGCCAATAGCTACGGACTGATTGATCTTCTTTCCGTCTACTTCAAGCACGGGTAGTTTGCCGAATGGCATAGCTGAAAATAGTATATTGTGCACCAAGAGGCGAAAGTAGCGTTTTTCAGACGAGTGTGAAGTTTGCCTTCAGCTCGGGCGGCAAATCACACGAGTCTGAAAAAGCTTTCGCCCCGAGGTGCACACGATATTTTTCACAATACCTTTACGGAAAGTTCGACTTCCATGCCTAGAGAGAGGCGAGAGTGGTCAATTTCAAGCCAGGGCTTACTTTCCTCCCTAGGGCGGAAAGTGGTTACTCTCCGCCCTAGGGCGGAAAGTGATTACTTTCCGCCCGCTAAACAGGGAGGAAAGTGGTTACTTTCCGCCCGCTATGCCGCCCTGGCGTGAAATTGGCCGCTTTCGCCCCTCTGTACAGGCATGGAAAGTCGAACTTTCCGTGGAGGTGTTGTGAAAATGATATTAAAAAATACAAGATGCTGTTAAAATTGAATAAGATTTATAGAAAAATCATTTAGATTATTATTAATTCAAATCTACAAAAATTAGAATTTATATACCTATAGCAATAATACATTATCATACATTAAAGAATTTTGACGATTAATAATTACACAATTAAAGATAAGTGCAATTACATTTTTAAGTCTGAATTTGATAATACAAATCTTAATTTTCATTTCTATGACAAATTTTTTTCTGCTATATAATTTATAAAAAAGCTCTGCAACCTTTATAGGTTTATGTTTTGAAGGAAAGATCTTTTGTCCCTCAAATTTTATGATATTTCGATAATTGATTGGCTAACTTGAACGACACGAAATTGATTTCCTTACATCAACAAGGAAATCTATTTACAATTAAACCATGCAATGAAACGACAGTACGTTTTTCGTTAAGTGAGAATACAACGCATTACATTTATATAACCATATCAATTTTCCTGTACAGAACATTGCAATACGTATATACGTAGTAAGAAATGGAAGGTTCTATTCGAGAGAGATAACACTTATTTCCAGTTCTGTCGTTTACAAGAAAGCTAAATGAAAAAATGAATGTCTTATTATGTATAAAATGTAGCATAAAAATAATCCCTACATCAAAATAATTTGTCTAGTAGAAATAAAGAAGCATGTGACAACGATTCAGGGCCGGTCTCACAGTCTCCGATTAACGTGATTCTCCGATTAAACTCACTCTGCATCTCTTTCTAACTATCCCCCTAGAAAGAGACGAAGAGTGAGTTTAATCGGAGAATCATGTTAATCGGAGACTGTGAGACCGGCCCTCAATCGGCGCTCCAGAAGATAATGTAAAAACTATATTTTTGCCACGTCAACTGTACGTTAATCAGATTTCAGGAATGATCGAGCTCTATTAGTTCGCGGCAGGTGATCGCTAACAGCGACATGTGTTATTAATGTTAATCAGTTGTACATACTCGGCTTAATTTTTGGCCAATCGTTCAAGTCGATACGTTCATCCACAAAGTCGATGCCAGCATAACTGAATAGGAATCGAATTGGCTCGCCCAATGCTGTGATGGGAAAATAAATCAGCTTGTAGGAAGGCATGTTGCTGAAAGAAAAGCACTTGTTAATTATTTTTGTCTTTATCGTCATTATTATGCTAGGATCATGAGGATATCTCAACGGTAGATAATATGCTCAAATATTTTTCGATCTCTTTAAACTAGTTTTAGTTACTGAGATGAGCTTTCAGCTTTAAATTTATATTTCATCGATATTTAATTCTAGACTTTCTTAAATATACGTGAATCAAAATTTAAACCAGACTTTAAAACCAATTTTGATCGGTATTATTTTTGATCATTTAATTTAAAATTGAAGTTGGATTTGGATTAAAATTGTCATCAATTTTAAACAGTTCGATAAAAATCCGAGTATAGTTATAAAAAGCCACTGATTACATAAAAACCATTTATTTAAAAAAATTGTTATATGCTAAACACAGCAAACTCTTAATCTGTAATAGTATAAGTTATCTTACGCAATCATATTTTCTTATCTTACAAGTCACATTTTCTTATCTTTCTTATCAAACTAAATACATGATCGGAAATATTGCACATATAAACATTCTAATTCTTACAACCTTTTCTGCTTTTTTTGCAACTTTTAAAATAGATTGTACATAATGATGTAAATCTGGAAATGTAGAACTTCGACTAAAATGACAAAGGTCAATAAAGGAACAATAACGTTGCTTGTTTATTGGCCTTTTTCATTTTAGTATTTGATGCATACGAGTGTGATTATATTTATTTATTTACATAAAATTTCTATTTAATATATTCTGCATAAGAAAAAGAAAAATATGTTTAATTGGCATGACATTACAGTTCTCGGAATTTTTATACAATGTTATTTTTATTAATTATATAATTTATTATGCCTTATAAAATATACAATTTCGATATTGATGAGTACATTATTGAGTACCTTTCCGAATCATACTTTTTGCTGTAACGCGATACTCTTTGAATGCGGCAATTATACTAAATTATTCTCCGAATCAATTTTGTCATTTTTAATGCTTCATCATGATAAATCTAACTAATTAATTTGCCTCTACAAGCGTCACTAATCTGCCGGCCACTCTAATTATAGTCGGGCGGTAACCACGAAACTCTCTTGAGGTATTTGATGTATAATAATAGGGGTATTCAAATAAGTTAGAGTTTAACGGTTTGACAGGTTATGTCGGGTTAAAGTCGGGTAAAAAGTTAATTTTTACACTTTTAACCCAAAGATTAATGTGATAGGTTAATGAGTTACTTGTGTATTTTGCATAACCTTAAAGAGTAGCGCGCCCAAAGTTAATTAATTAACTTTTTACTCGACTTTAACCCGACATAATCTGTCAAACCGTTAAACTTTAACTTATTTGAATACCCCTAATATTAAAATATCTATAACCTTGAATTAGTTTGAACAATATAAGTGGGTAAGTTCTACGTACAATTTGAAGAATTCTACACAGACGGGAAAGGTGTCAACGGTAATACGCTATTACAGTCACCAACCGGCAGATCTTGCGGCGAACTGAATTCCTCTTTTATTCACCTTCCTATCAAGAGATATCCCTACTTGTCGTTGTGACGACGTGACTCACTTTCGATCTCTAGAAGAAACTCACTAGAGATATAAGTAAGCCGAAATCATCCCTAAATTAAACACAATTTAAAAAAAAATATATATATATATATATATATATATATATATATATATATATATCAGCATCGGAAAAATGTTCCAGTTTTTCCAACGTATCTTAAGCACCCTTTAAACGTTTTTCAAGATTCTCCTTGACGGTTCCTAGTGTTATCTAAAACTATTCGTCATTAAAGAACTCGTATCTCGAATAGCG